ATCACCACAGCTGGGCATGCAAGCGCTGCTGGCAATGGAGCTGTTGGAATCGGATTGCGTTTTGGCGCTTCAGTGCTCTTACAAAATGGCGTAAACGAAATTCTTTTGTATATCCTTGTTATTTCTATTTCGTTGTTGTATGCTTGAATGCGGTGAATTCATGCATCCAACACAAGGATCAGCACATTCTGTCGTGACGCTACCTATCCACTTGGAAAGAATGAGCATGGTTGCTTATCGCGACCAAGCGACGACCCCCCAGCTTCACAACTTGATTAACCGCGGGGACAGATCAATGCTGACGGAGTTTTTCAAGCTGTGCGCGCGTAACCCAGAAGCTACGGTCAATCTACTGTACAAGGATGTACCGCGGAAGTACAGGTGGACGGAACACAAGACGTGGGAACCGTACAAGAAGTACGTTGCTTCTCTGGGACGCTTGGTACACGTATCTCCGCAGGACCCGGAACGCTTCTACTTGCGACTTCTCCTGTGTAACCGACGCTCACCTAAGTCCTTTGCGGATCTTCGAACGGTTGATGGTACGGAACATCCTACATATCAGCAAGCCGCTTTGGCGCTTGGGTATTTGGAAAATGACGACGAGTGGATACATTGCTTACGCGAAGCCGCCGAGGTCAAGATGCCGTACCAGCTACGCCAACTCTTCGGCATCATTTTGGTTTACTCGATGCCTGGTAATGCCAAAGATCTATGGGATAGGTTCAAGAAGGATATGTCAGAGGATCATGCACGAAGCATTGAGGAAAGAGACGCAGACCTGCATAATGTACGCGAAGAGGAGGTGCGTCTTCGAATGGCGGAGTACAAGGCGTTGCAGAAATTGGCTGATTACTTAATTTCGAACCAAAAGTCCCTCGACATGTACGGTCTTCCTCTGCTAGCCGATTGCGACGATGTATCCGCTCAAGTAGACGACCCGGCTTCAGCGTCTGTTGATGTTGTCCAGCAAGAGATTGACGCTTACCCCCTAAACGAACTGGAGCATGTTGCGGAGCAGGCAGACCACTTGAACAGCAACCACAGGGATATTTTTGACCAAGTTATTGCTGCTGTGAGCAGACCGGTTGAAGGGGAGAAGCTTTTCGTTTTGGATGGTCCGGGTGGAACAGGAAAATCGTTTCTACTCGAGCAAATACTCGCTCACGTTCGGATGCAACGTAAGGTTGCCATCGCGGTTGCATCGAGTGGGATTGCAGCCACTCTGTTAACTGGAGGTCATACCGCGCATTCAACGTTCCGGATTCCCCTCAAACTAACAGAGACGTCGACGTGCAGCCTTTCATGGCAGAGCCAACAAGCCGAATTGATTCGTAGCGCGAGTTTGATCATTTGGGACGAAGCTCCGATGATCAACACCGAGCTTGCTTTGAGGCTGTTGACAGGTCGCTTCGGGATATCATGAAGAACGAGCTGGAGCTGTTCGGCGGAAAGGTAATGGTGCTCAGCGGTGATCACCGCCAGATTCTACCTGTACTGAAGGATGCTACGCGTGCGGAGCCGATTCAAGCTTGCTTCAAGTCTTCTCCCCTATGGGAGCATTTGCGTCAAGTGCGGCTGACCGAGAACATGCGTGTCGCACTGCCCCAGACGCGGCCAGTGCAGCTGAGCTAGCAGAGTCTTCTAAATTTTTTACTTTCA